TATAGATTTGTGAATTGGGTCCAATAAGAGAGTCCTAGTCCATAAAGAACTTGAACCGGGATTTCTAAGGTGTCCAACCCTTAGTTGAACATATGAGATGTATTTGAACGAGAATAGAGTATAGTATTCACTTAGAGTACAGACTTTTACAATGGATGATGTTTTCATGGGAATAAAATTTTCTAGCAAAATGTCAGTTGTGACATTATTACATCTCTTTGTGCGAAGCTACAAGAAGAAAGAGAATAAAAGAAAGTGTGAAATGTAAAAACATGAAATTTTAGCAATATCTTAAAAAATAGTTTTTCAGCTGAAAATAACAGATTTTCAGCACCAAAAATAGATTTCCAACAATAATAGAAAGCTGATATCTAGTGATAAAAATAGAATTTCAGTAAAAAAATAATGAAAAGAAAACTTACCATGTTGAAAGACACTCCAGTTTATCTCGTAAGTTGTGCTCAATAACTTCTAGCTGGGTCATCTGACCTGTTCTTTGAAGCATCATACTTAACTACTTAAGTGCCTTGACAATTGAGAATTTATAGGTAGTTAGGAACTCAAGATTCATTAACAGCATAAACAAAAAAGTAAACATTAAACAACATTAATATTTGAAGCTGTGTAAAGCCATAAAAAAGAAAAAACACTAACTAATTATTAACAATAAATATAAAAAAGTAAAACATAAAACTGGGTAAGTAACAAACAACATTAAAAGCATTTACAGAAAAACAACATTAAAAGCATTTACAGTTAATAGGATTGACGTAAACAAACATTAACTAACACGTGGCAATGTGGCATTAGGAAAATAAAGCCATAAGTCCATAAAAAAATAAACTGATCGTCTGATCATAATAGGAGAAACATACATTGATACAAAGTTACAAACTATAAAGTTTCATTGATTCTCTCAAACACATAGTTGCTTATTTATTTTTTTTATTAAAATTTAAATTAAATATAACATGTGATATATAAAAATTACACTTTTATGCCATCAATAACTATGAAAACAGTGTCATAAAATGATTAATGCCACTAAAAGTATGCTATTAGTATCATAAGATATAGAGTGCCACTATATCTATTAAAACTTACAGTGTCACAAATAAAAGTGCCACTAAAAATAGGCTACAGTGGCACAAAAGCAAAATGCCACTAAAACTTTGTACTACTAAATGTAATTTTATTTGTAGTGTAAGATTCTTCGTGACTCCCCTCGCTTCGAGTACGGATCCTGTGCTTTCAGTTGTACGAGCCCAATACCACCTTCCACACCTACCCATACCTTCCTCAAGAGTCATCCATAATCCTCCATGTCACCTTCTTGAATTGGTACACCAAGTACTAGCTAAACAACGCAACCAAACCCACTAAGGCATTTCCTAGGCTTTCCTAGGTTCTCGACCTCACTCTATCATTAGCTGCTGAAAATCTTTCGAGTAAAAGAGTCATCCCTAAAACGTTTCGACTCAGACAAGAGCTGCACAATATGGTCAAATCCATCACTCTGAGATTATTTAACCTTTGCAACATATGACTTAACATATTCACTTAATAGTTAACTCACATCACTAAGAGTTCCACAAAGCACAAATCAAGCGACATTCGTGCAGTAACACTCCAAACCATAAAAAGAACAAAGGGAGTCTGAAACTCACTTGCTACTACCATGCTAGGAACTTCTACTCGTGCTTCCGTTTGTCTTATGCATGCAAATTATACACACTACATGATCAAAATAGACTATCGAATAAAAGATTCTACCCTAGGACCACAACCAGACAAGGAACATGAAATATGGCCAAATCAGTCATTTTAGGGCTATCTGATCCTAACCGTATACAATTTTTAAAGCATACACTTAGCAATTACTACTACCAATACATATTTCTAATCATAGCATCCAATTCATCCTAGGCTACAAGGCATCACATATCAGGCCAATCTGTCATGCAAATTCTGAAAGTATCATTTGCCTTATTCTAGCATGAAAACATTCATATCATATAACATATCAACATGTATGGGTATTCTAGGAATCACATACTTGAGCTCGGCCGATTGCACGCATCACACCCCTTTTTTTCTTTACAAAAGTCTTTTTAGAAATTTTTTTCCTTTTAAAAGATTACCAATTCCTCAGTTTGAGTTCAGTCACACCCGAGAGTGTGCCTGAATCCCTCAAACCAAGACTATAATACCAACTTGTAACGTCCCAAAAATTATAAGGTACAAATTTCATTTTTAATTCAACTAGAAACACCAATTATCATTTTTCCATCATTCAAAAGTATTTCAGAGTAAAAACAGTTATCAGAGTACAATCCCAAAATCATATATAGTTGCGGAAACATGGGTGGATGCGTTGCGATCAAGCCGGGACCTTTCCTTTCGAACCAGAAGTACCTGAAACCATATCCATAAAAAAACGAAAGCACAAAGTTTAGTGAGTTCCCCAAAATACCACATACCATACATAAGAAAGTGAATTCTATGGGCCAAATCATAGTCATACAATGATTTCCTACCATTGGCCAAAACATGGTCTTTCCTTGCAATGCCGAGGGCTAAATCTCGGTCTTTTATACAATTGCCAGGGGCCAAATTCTGGTCTTTCATACAATTTTCAAGGGCCAGATCCTGGTCTTTCATATAATTGTCAGGGGTCAGATCCTAGTCTTTCATGCAATTATCACAGAGACAACTAGCATCCTATATAATAAGTAATGGGGCGGAATTGGTGCCTTCGACCCATGGATCTAGTGAGAACACTCAGCTCAAAATCGCGTCGACCACAGCTAACAGTTCTCCTGGAAAAAGATAGGTACAAAACACCTCCTGCCAATCCACACAAGGTAAACCATAAAACTTCCAAAAATAGAGATTGACCAAAAAGTCAACCCACACCAAAAGTCAACGGTCAAAGTCAACAGCCAGAGTTAACTTTAGTTGACCACCACGTTGTGGCCTTCCTTGGCCACGTCGTAGCCTTCACCCAACCAACTTATGGGAAATTCCCAGTCGACACACCGTGGCGACCTATGGCCACGTCGTGGGCACTAGGTTTCCAACAACTTAATGGATTAAGTTGCCTTCCTTGATTCCAAGAGTTCCAAAGCTCAGATCTAGTCCAAACTATGGTCTAAATGAATAAAGTTTCCAACTTTATCCATTAAGACACCCAAAGAGATCAAGATCTTAAACCCTAGGTTCAAATAAAGCCAAAATCCATAGTGACTTAACTATTAAGCCCTTAATCCGAAAAAAATCCTTAACCCTAACTCTTCTTTAAGCTAAAGAGGGGGGGGGGGGGGTTACCAAAGGTCCATAAAAATGATTACTTGGTGGACATCCATGACCCATGCATGTCCTAAACTCCACTTTATCCAAATGGCAATAAATGACCTAAAACTTATGCAACATTCACAAATCACAACCAAACACCATATCCATAAGATATGATGCTCAAGGGACACTAGGGAGCAATAAAGTTGCCAACTTTATTCCATCCATTCACTCAACTCAACTCAATGAACCAAAAATGGACTCAAACCACCTAGATCTAAGAGAATAACTCAACAAGTAGAGACTTGAATCCTTACAAATGGTTCAGAAGGTGATAACCAAGATGATAAAGTGTTGCTTTCTTGATCCTTGCACCAATTCTTCCTCACTTCCTTCCTAAAAGTACCAAAACCACCGAGAGGGAAAGGATTAGGGTTCATCTAAGGTTAAGGGTGATAGTGGTTGAGAAATGAACCCTATAACCAAGTTAGAAAGGCTTAAATACGAAGAGAGCCCTAAAAGAGTCATGGGTTTGGGCCTGATTAGTTGCCATGCCGTGACTTTTCCATTGCCACGCCGTGGTGGCTAAATAAAATATGCATGCCACTTATTCAATGCCACGTCATGGGCATCCTTGCTCACGCCGTGCCACAGAGTTTTTCCCAAAAAATTCTATATTTAGCCCTAGAGAATAAAAACTAAACCTTACTAGAACACGAGTGTTATACTTCCATATCTTATAACCAAATTACACCCCTCGTAATAATACAAGCCATATAGAATAGGTGTTAGAATTTAAAACCACACCATTTCCAAAAACTTCAAAACCAAACAATTTAAAGAAAACCGCACGTTGCAGTTTTAAAATTACAAAATATGGTGCATACGGTTTGGTTTTGGCCTAAACTGTACTAAATCACACCATATTCACTCTAGACTCTAGACTTTAGACTTTATATATGCTAGTAGAATGATAAACTTGTACTTCCCAATTTTAATTTTTTTTTAATTCTAAATTCTTTTGGAGTTAAACACTAAAATCTATTAAAAATGTTAAAAAACTGATTATTGAAGGCACCCCAAATGTTTTAGAAAATAAAATAAAATCTATATAAAATGAGGTATATAAATTTAAATTTCTAACATTTACTAGTTAGTTGTTAGTACCATACAGTCAGTATAATTTTTTTTTAAAGTATTATTTAATTTAAAATTAAAATGCAAGAACAAAAAGAAATCAGATCATAAAAATCTGAAATTCGTTACAATTTTATAGATTTCTTCTTATCCAGCAAATATTTTTATAACAGATTACGCGTTTCCTGGCCGTTTACGGTACGGACTAACGTCAGCAGACCTCGTAGTTGCTGCCATGATGCAGTTGTTGTTGCTCCCGGTGGCGGTGGTGTGCTCCGCCGTAGATTTGGTGTTCCGAAGGCAGTAGTTGCTGCTGTTGTTGTTGGTAGTGGTGGTGCTGGTAGTGCTGGCCTCCTACCATCACCTCCTTTTGCCGACGGAGCTCCATTACTTTCCGGTGAGAGTTTGAGTGTTGAGTTAACACAAACGTCGGGCTCGCCGCCGGACGATACTCCGGAACCAACCGCCCTGATTTGAACCTCACACCGCAGGCGTTGCATAACGTCTTCGGACCTAACGGACCGGTTCTCCATTGTGGCGTCTTCTCCGAAGCGCAGTGAGTACAGCGTCTAATGACGCCGGATTCCGACGTCGTTTCGCAGGATGAAGAAGTTTTCGATGTTTCAGAGATCGGAGTGGTGGGTACCGGTGGTGTTGATGTCCAGCTGTTGTTATTTGACGGTGCTCTGGTTCTCTTACTCCTTGATCTGCTGTGAAACGACGTGTTCTGCGGTCGGAAGTTTATAGTTCCGGCTATGTTATTCGTCGGAAAGTCGCTGAACGAATCGTCGACGAATCTCGATAGCCATTCGAGCTCCGCCACGTCATCACTCTAGAACATTCCAAATCCACAACATTATCAGTCAAAATAAACAAAAACGTTCACAAATCCAGAAAAGGTGAAATCGAAACTCACCGGAACGCAGAAATGATCGGTGAAGTCGGTGGATTGGTGGTGGTAATTCGTAGTGTTGGTATTATTATTATTGAAACTGTACTGGAACTGGCTGCCGGAGGCGGTGATATTGTGGAATACGTCGGTGGCATTGACGGCGGAAGAGGAGAAAACGTCATCCCGGTCACCGGAAAAGTCAAAGAGCTCGTCAACGCCTAAATAATCTTGTCCGGCCGATGACATTCCATACATATCCATCACTGATCACTCTCTTCAACTCCAATTATCTGATTGTGTTCTTCGGAGTCAACAGGTACGCGAAACTAAACCAAAATCTTTTATTTTAGAAAATTTTGAAGTGTGAATTATATGAGTGAGTTGGAGGAATGACAACTGCGATAGCAACAGAGCTTTCACAGTCGTCTTCCTTAGAACTGGAAGTGTAAGTACGTAGGGTTTAGGTAAAAAGGAAGGGGGAGAAGGGGGCTTGATATAGTGTGTACTTTTGGGGGTTAGTGATTATTGATTAAGGTATTTGGGAAGAGAGGGGTGTGGGGGAGCAAAGGAACGTGGGTAGAGTGACCATGCAATGTGAGGGCTCTGCAACTCTCTGATCACAATTTACTTTTCTTTTTCCTTTTATTAATATTTCCCTATTTTCCTATTAAATATATAATATACAAACAAATTATATGCCTTCATGTATTTGAATGTATACATATACTCATAAATAACAACCCATAAAGCTTTTGTATTATTCTAGCAACCCTTGAATGGACGTTACACGTACAAAAAATGTAAATTATATATACAACCACAAAAATACATATATATATATATATATATATATATATATATATATATATATATATAT